AGCTCTTGCTAGGTGTGGACTTTGGGAACCACAGCAGAGAACCAGGAATTTTTGAGAATGTTTATGCTATATTTAATGAGGCCATAAATCCTAACTCAGAGCAGCGAGTTTGAGGATGGAAGAAGCCTTGCCATAACTGAAGTTTTACCAGCCTATGCCAGGTCATGCATGACCTGCATCAGAGCACATGGTGACAAACCCCAGCCTTTCTCTTTCCTACACAAGGTCCCAGTCCCCTGCAGGGCACAGAGCCATAGCTAGGAGAGGCATGAATGTACATCGACGCTGTGCTATATCACATCTTCCCAGTTTTAGAAGCATGTACATCAGATGCCGCTAATTATTAGGCTGATTAGCTATAGTTGATGTAACAGATTTGATATACTGAGTATCTACTTGTATTTACAGTATCCTTTCTTTTGCCTATTACACTATTGTTAAAACAACAGAAAGTAAATATGAACTGTTGTCTTTGGATTTTTCCTAAACTGAGAGAAATCAGTGACTTAATAATCTGACCAGGATAAAAGCTGAAATGCCTTGGTAACTTAAGCTAACAAGAATATTATAATATACATAACCTGATTTTTTTTTTGTCCTGAGAAAACATTAAAGATTTAATTCAAAGAGAAAAAAAGTATTTTATGTAAGTGTTGTTGCCTAGAAGATTCATGCTATTATGATTAACTGCAATGCAATACTTTGGCAGCTGCGAAAGAGAACTGAAAAAAATATAGACATAGAAAAAGCAGGAGAGGATTATCTTGTATACACACAGTATGTGTATGGTGACAGATTAGAAAAAAGCTGAAATATCATTTACAGCTGTTATGTTGAAGGCCAATATGTATTTAGCTTAAATCCTTACATGCTAACCTGGGTTATTTCTTAATGATTTTTTCGTTAATGAGATGTAACGATAGTTTTAATTTCTTATTCTCATCAGAATTGAAAACCTTTTTGGTAAATGATGGTGTACCTGTAAACTGCAGGTGTGGGGAAACAAAACAAAAAAAACCCCTTTGTAAGTAAAAATCAACCCCCAGAACAGCTTTTGAGCCTTAAAAACTAAAACTAATCTAATCATGTCAAAAGAACTGTAAATGTGTGCTGAATTTCAGTCAATATGACTGATTACCTGTCACTTACTCAGCTCTGATTTCTTCCTGCTATGCGCTTTGGAACCGTCTTTGTTTTAGAAACTCAGAGGCAGTGTATGTGAGTTGTTAGCTCACCTCCACTTCAGTTTCCTGAATGCTTTTGGGGCTGAGTAAAAAGCCCTGTCATTTCAGCCTGAAATCTTCAACAGCATCATTACTCATTTATTTTATATTTATGCTGCTTAACCTCAAATTCTGAGAAGTTTCACACCCTGAGTCACATAGAGACTACAAAGGCTTCATAAGGGTATGCCTGAATGCTTATGCTAAGCTACATAATCACTGGGCTTTCTCTAGTTTTGGATTCTAGGTTGAATTTTAAGTGTAATTTAAGTGTGAATTGTTGCATAACTCAACCATGTCAACTGGCACATGACTTTTGGCCTTAGAAAAAAAAAAATTGATTTGTTTTTCTTAAAAATCCATTTACAGTGCAGTGAAAAATCTTGACTGAGTAATATGCATTGCTACTGGCTTTCCTATAGATGAAAATGTTCTGACTTGCATGTAACACACATGACCGAAATCAGCAAAAAGGTAACTAGTTGCAGAGTGCAGTTTTGTTGTGCAGTCTGAGGGAATTAAGGGCTTACTTCTTTGGTACATCCCATATCGCCCATCCTTTACAAAAGCCAACAGCAACCTTAGAAAACACATTTAAAAGAGATTTATGCAAGTAGAAGAAAAGATTTTTGTAGGCAGAGAAGTCACGTGAGACAATCTACAAAATTTGACAGAACTGTTTGAGCAGTGTAATCAGTTGCTGCATAAGTTTGTCTGAGCTGCTTGTTCCATCATTCCTAGAAGCTGCAGAGAACAAGGTTTTCAGGATCTTTGGGAGCAAAAGGCTATTACTTGGGCCTATTTCAATATACCTCTATAGCAAATGGAGGTAGTAGTGTTTACAGGCAAAATGGACAATAAAAACTGAATAATGCTAAACAGTCACAGCAAGTCCACAGCAAGAAGTAATGTCTTCTAGAAACAGAAAAATAAAAATCTACAGAACTGTTTTTCTGTTACATTTCATGTACAGCATATATTGATCATTTCCAATGTCCTCTGTACAAAGACTATTTTCTGGGGGGAAATAAAAGAAGGTTTTCATGCTATACATTATATTCTCTCGGAGTTTTTCCTTGGACTGGCAACTAAATATATTATTTGTTTTCATTTATTTTATTCTGAAAGTATGTTGTCACAGTAGCACCATTACCAGCTTCCATATGCTGTGAAGATAATATTACAGGAGGACAATGGCAGTATAATTACACACTACATCTTCAGAGATCTGACTCTGGCAGAGTTGAAGATTACTTCAGAGTTTCGAATTAATCTGAACGACCCCATCTTTATTGCTGTTCAATTTCTGGAAGTGATGAAATGCCAAGTCATTGAAAATAACTGATAAAAGCCTAAACAATCTGAAATGAGTAATGTAGTGTTTCTTTGACTTCATCTAAGTCCCACACACTTTACTGCCAGGTACAATATTTTATAGAATTTTTTTTTTTTTTTTTTTTTTAGTGAATGTGAGTTCTCTTTAGTTCACTAACAATAGATCAACTAGGCAAAGAAGGAAAAATCCATTATCATATGCTCTTACATTTTATGTTCACCAAAATTGTGGCTGTAAAAAGCAAACAGTGAAGCAATGATTTCTGTCATCCAGTGTAAGTGTCTGTAAAAGACCTGGGCATCAGGGCTAGAACTATATTGTGGAAACATAACATAAGATTGAAGTCTAGGAAAAGCCCTTTTGGATTCCTTTTTTTCCACCTCTTCTGAATAACTTGCATAGCAGAGACCCAGTAATACACATATTCGTAAGTTACATTAGCTAACTGGAGGATTTGTGATTGTCTCCTGCATACTATGTTAAAATTTTGTTATTTACTCAGAGTCATTGAAGTACAAGAAACAGCTGAGGTTGCTCATGTCTTGATAATATTTTGCGTCATAGTGCTCCTTTCCAGATGTTAAAACAAGAAGAAAAAATAAGGCTTCCTTTAGTACATTCGCTTGGAAAAAGAAGAGGTTCCTTTAGTATATTCCCTTGGAAAAAATAGTGAAATTATAATTGCACAACCTTTAGTAGCTCAGTCAATGAGTACTACAAAGCTACATATAGTAATGTCAAAATGAGGGTGCTGGCACAAGCAGACTTTACTTACAGGGATTTTCTCAAACAAACAAAGCAAGTTTTGCCTTCAGTTTTGCATACTGATGAACAGGGGGAGGAAGCAGACAAAACATATTTTTTCAGAGGCAGTCAAACAGACAACTATATATGTACCATAGCCCAAACTACTAACTCACAAAAGAGTAGGTTTACTCCTAATCCAGCAGTGCTAATGTCGTTTTTTTCCTCACCTGGAAATATTGTAAAACTGAATAAGCTGACACAGCATGCATTGTGAGGAGATGATGACAGGGAATATCGTCTGCTGTTTAATTCAGCGGCTGGATGTGAAAGTCATCGATCCTGCTGTCACACGATATACAACTTCTCAGAGCCTCATTTTGTGAAGTGTGACTGAACCACTACCAGGCAGAAATCTCTGAGACATCTCTCTAATATACCTCCTACTAGTCACAGATTCCTGTCCTGCTATACTATTGAAAAAGAGGTGTAAATTTCCTCCTACATGTTCACATGTAGAAAAACAGAGAAGGCCGTTGCTGATGTTTTCCTGCACCAATGGGGCTGCTCAACGAGAGCTGTTGGAGGATGACCCAGGAAAATGAAATTAATGGGCAAGCAAACGCTAGCTTTGGTGAGAGTCAAGATACAGTGAATCTAACACCCCAGGCCCACTGAAATCAGCTCCAAAAGCTGCTGGTGGTTCTGCCAGCAAAGGTGGATGCATGAAGAAAGGTGAGGACTACCTGCCCACGGGAAATGCTCGTCATGGCAGCTCGGTCCCTGGCAGCTGTGCAAAGTAACCACTCCAGCCAGAGGTGCAGCTGACAAGGAAAGGCAAGCACTTCACCAGCAGTGTAATAAGCCAGGGCACGGTGTTACAAACTAAGGCCTGATGCTACTGGTGTCATTAAAGTCGAGGCTGACTCAAAAGTACTTCGGACAGTTTCTTTTAGCTATTTTATGTCTAACATTTTTTCAACATAGCAGTTTCCATGAAAGAAACCATTTTGTCCTCACATATCAGTAGTAATGCTTATTTTGAAAGTATGTACTTTTCCTGTGTTTTTTTTTTTAACTTTTGTAACCACCGATAGTAAAGAAAATGAAAACAAAAGTGTGCAGAGCCAAAAATTTATGTTCATCACTGAAATTTTAATAAGAGCACCCTCTGGTGGCTAATGTATAAACAATACTCTTTATATCTCCTCCCCCCCCAGGAGCTGTACTTGTAAATGTAATATTAAATATTACAGAAATGGATGCAAATCCTTTTTCGACTGAATTTTTGCTTTCATCTACTGTGAAATGCATAGATATATTTTCTCAAACCAAATAAAAATTCAGATACTAAAAACTGTTAAACATAGAAGGAGGAAAATGCTTATGTACTGTCTACAAGTAGAATTTAATTCAAAAGAGTCAAAGGGTAAAATTAAAGATAGAAATATAGATAGGTATCTCAAGAGACAGAGACGCTAAGGCCCTTACAGCTGTGCTGGACCAAATCTAGAAACTAGGGGAAATTAGTGGGTAAGACATACATATCTTTTTCTAATCCTTTGCTGTTTTGAACTCATCATTTTAATTGGAATATTTAAGCCTGTTTATTTTCCACAGGCTCCATGGTTTTAATCAGACATACTATGTTAATTATCAAGAAATCCCAAGAATAACTCTGTACCACTTTGTGACAGGTATCTTCCATTTAAAAGTACCTGAGTCCTCTCACGTTGGTTCTGCTATTGGAAGGATCAGAGCTGTGGATCCTGATTTTGGGAAAAATGCAGAAATTGAGTACAACATAGTTCCAGGAGATGGAGGAAACTTGTTTGACATCACAACAGATGAGAACACTCAGGAAGGAGTCATCAAACTGAAAAAGGTATGTGGCACCAATGCAGTGGTATATACTTCTGGCTCCAGTGAAAAACTGGGTAAGAGAATTAAATGTTGTGCAATTATACCTCAGAAGTAACACACAGTAGTTTGTAACTTTATTAGAATCTGTGGTTGTGATCTTAGTCTTAAAAGGAATACTGTTTCATTTCACATACAACCAGATATAACTTTTCAGAAATAGTGTCAATTGACCGTGTACCTATATTTACATTATACTCACTCTAACAACAAAATTCCTGACTTCAGCGTCTTGACCCAGGAAATAGTAAATTATCCATGGGTGGACTAAATGACCAGATGGTGTCAAGTCACTTACTCTTCTGCTAGTTTTAGAGACATAAAATGGAAGCTACAATACCCACAGGAAGTAATTTGTCAATGATGAGACACAAACTCTTTGCACTCTTCACACCCCTCCCCCCTTCTTTTCTGACTAAAGGTTTGAATGTACTGCTTCCTCTTTATGTGACTTTGTAAACTTTGTTCCATTTTTAAAAATCATTCTGATCACCTTGTTCCACCTATGCAGACGACTCAAAAATAGCTCCATCTAGAACTGTCAGGCTGAGCACCTGCATGCCCCTCCGTGTGCACTGCCAGCTGGAAATGGCAATGAGTGGGAACCATTGAAAAATGAATGTTTGAGCATCATGAGTAGATTTTTGAGAGGATTCAGTTCTCCCTGGATTAGTCCTAAGCCTCAGCTGTGCTGCTTTTTTTTTTTTATACACAGCAATGGAAATTTTCCATACTTATAATTAAGTGTGTGTATATATATATATTAAACTATATAAGTAAAACATTCAAATTGGCAATGCAGGTTCAATCAGCATGAATATAATAGTGTTACTGATGGAGAGCATTCACAGACGACTTTGCCTGATACAGTTAATTTAGGACCAGTCCAGGTAAAAATATGTGGTCATTTTTGAGACCACTGTATGGGGAATTATGTAATATCTAATTGAAAATTAAATTAAAACTAAATAAAAATAATAATAATAAAAA